AAAATACAATCCAACTTAAGCTCTGACTCTTGCTCTTTATCTTCTTTATTTTGGACCTCGAGGTCCATTCGATCTTTTTTTGTTTTTTGTTTTTCTTCTTTCTTTTCGACCTCGCGGTCCATTCGTTCTTTCTTTGTTTTTTGTTTTTCTTCGTTCTTTTCGACCTCATGGTCCATTTGTTCTTTCCTTGTTTTTTATTTTTCTTCGACCAAAGTGGTCATGCTATTTTCATCAACCTCAAATTCATTCGACATTACCTCCTTGTCTCAACCTTCCTCGGCCATGTTGGCCGTTCGATCGGCCATGTAGGTCGATATTCGAGCTAAAAAGCTCGAATACGGATCTTCATCCTTCATTCTTCAATTGGAGCCGAATCTTTCTCGGCTCGAATCAAAAACCTTTTTTCACATCCCAACAGAAAATTTTCTTAACCCCCTCTTCTTCATCCATAACTCCAGCATTGTAGGCATCGAAAGGTTTGGTCTTCGCAAATGCAGTTAATTGTTGATATGCAAAGTACATACCTACCTCATATTCCTTTTGGTCCGCATCGAGCACTTCCAAACCTTTATCATCATTCCAAAAGAAAATCTTTTGGTGAACAGTTGAAGGGACAACTCCTACCCCATGAATCCATTCATGTCCTAACAAGACATTAAAATTTGCCTTCGATGGAGTTACTATAAACATAGTAGTTCTCTTCACGCTCCCGATCTGAACGTCAAGCAAAATCATGCCTTCAGGGTGTGATGACTTTCCTGCGTAGTCTGAGATCAATATGTTATGGGGCTTCAAGTCAGCCGTGGACTTCCCAAACCTCTTCAGCATTGTCCTTGGCAAGATATTCACAGTTGCACCTCCGTCAACCAAAACCTTATTCACCTCGTGCCCTTCGATCATCAAAGTTAGCAGTAAAGGCTTAAGGTGACCTTTCATCTCCTTAGTGGGAGAATCAAATACAGCTGAGTTAAACTTGGGGATAACCCTCGAAATTTGATTAACCCACACAATCTTGGACTCATAATTAGGATCATCGAAGAAGTCTTCTCGATGGATATCCTCTTGTTCGTTGACAGATTCCATGGCTCCAACATACTCGGAAGGCAGAATTGATACTATCCCACAGATATCCTCCAGGGAATCATTGAAACCGCTCTCGAAACAGTCAGTTATTAGATCCTCATCATCTTTGATGAATTTTCGAGATGATTCCCCCTATTGGGGTACAGGAATCGAAAAATGGTTCCCTCTGAAACCTTCAAAAGTAGCTTTCTGCATTCTTTGTTGCCTCCGCCAGTGAGTTTTGGTTAAGTTATTAAAGGGCTGTCAAAAACCACACCCATAACTTCCAGTCGAGAATCTACCAGGACCTGCAGATACATTCGAGAATTTTCTGGGAATTCCTTGGACTGGATGCCCAGCATAATTCATCACTTGCTTTCCTCGACCCATTCCGCCAACCATTGACCTTGGTGGGGCATTCCATTTTCCCACTGGAACGTTTGCGTTCGGCACAAAAGTGTTGCCGAATTTCGATGAATTATACATTTCCATCTTACCCATAGGGGCATTATACTGAGGCATATCGACCTGCCTCATGGTTAACCCAACACTCGATCTAGTATTAAGCTTAGGCTTGTCTCGAAGTTTCTCAGCTTTGTAGCTCTTCATGATTTCTGACTCCTCGAAAGCCTTAGCAGCAGCTCTGTCGAAGACAGCACTGCCTCGAGGACACAACATAACCTCCCTATCAGCCTCCTTTTTCTTTGACAGAAACTCAACCAAACTATCTCCCTCTTTTGGTTAGATAGGTTCTTCCTCCTTTGCGAAGTCATCCATCAATTCTTCGAGTTTCTCATCAGAAATAGGCTCAATGTTTTCATCATCCTCGATATTAACATCAACCATATTGATTCCCATCGAGACTAGTTCCACATATCTAGTGTGAGCGGCAAATGGATCAGTGTCCACTTTCATGTCCTTTTCCTTGAAAGCAAGGCGACCATTAGTAATCGTTTTTTCGATCATATCCCTGAAACGCACACAGTTATTAGTCCAATGACCATACATATTATGATATTTACAAAATTTCTTCCCTTTTCTTTGTTCGAATGGCGGAATTTTATGATTTTCTGGGAGTACAATTTGTTTATCTTTTAATAAGATATCAAATATTTTATCTGCCGTAGTCACATCGAAACTGTATCTCCTAGTCGAGTTCCCTTTTATATTGTCTCCTGGTTTTAACATTTGACATTGATAAGTAGGACCATGACGCAATTCTGCTAAGTTAACCTCAAAATCCTCACTCGAAATCTCATAGTTAGTATCCTCACTTATCTCTACATTTTCTAAATAGGTTACCTTTTCTTTTCGAACAAACCTGTCAAACTTTCTTAATCTTTCCTTTTCTAACTTAATTTGTTCGATCCTTCTTACTTTTTCTGCTAACTGAACCATATCTCTTAACTGTTCATTTACCAATTTTTTACGTATTGAGAAATCTAACCCTGTTGCTGCAATCTTAACTAACTCATGCTCAGGTATATTAGTATAACATTGAGATTTTAATTGCCTGAACCTATTTAAATAGTCATCTACCGTTTCATGGCTTTGTCTCTTAACGTTCATTAGATCGACTATACTAACTTTCGTTTCTTCTCTGAAGAAATGTGCATGAAAACTACCTTCCAATTGAACCCAAGTGTTTATCAAATTAGGAGGTAAGGTTGTGAACCATATAAAAGTGTGCTTAGTCAGCAAACTCAGAAAATACTTCATTTTTAAATACTCATTGTTCGCCAAATCCCCACATTCGACTAGATACCTAGCTATATGTTCGACCGTAGGCTCATTTAATTCTCCCGCGAATTTCAAAAATTTTGGGACCTTTGTCCCCCTAGGCAATTCTACTTGAGTTACGTGATCTGGAAAGGCTGACACAAAATAAGGACGTTCATTTCGACCTACCTTGAAACCATGCCTGTTTAGTATTCTTTCTACCATCTGATCTAAATTATCATTGGGGTTCCTATTAGGTCGACCTACGTTCTGAGGAAAAATTCCATTCCCACCTAGATTTTCCATCTTGTTCAAATTCGCACTCATGGCTCTCGAAGGTGGACCATCACCCAATTTATCTCCTATTTTGTTTATCAATTCATACAAAGGAGTCATTATGTTATGCATTTGAGTTGACAACAAATTGACCATGTCATGATTACTATGATCCATCTGTTGTCGAAGAGCCATAATGGCTTGATTACTAATACCAGTAGGTACATAACTACCTTGTCGAATCAGGGAACCTTCATGACTCGTCCCTACATGTTGGTAGGGGTCTTGCATAACAAAACCCAAACCATTTGGTCCAAGATTATATCCTTGCGGAGACACGTGCATTTGTGAATTTGGCCCTAAATAAGGTATTGGCATCTCGACATGTACGGGTTGGGTATTTCGCCAATTCTGTGGCATACCCCAAGGATATTCCCTAGTGACATTTGCTAGTTCTTGTGACACATTAGTTTGTCTATAGCCACATTTTCGGGTACTACAGGGGGTGATGTTGCCCCCCTCGTCACAACAACTACGTTATCTGAGTTAGGATTTCCGTGTTCTACATCTACCTGATTATCATTATTCCTGTTATTAGAATTATTAGACGTAGACATGGTTCTTCCACTCCTAAGTCTCATACAACATGCATACCTAAAACTAGTTCAATTATGAAGGTCCCACCGGGCGTGCCAATTTGTTTATGGTGGATTTCGTTTATGAGTCCTTTTTATTCAAAATAGCACCAAGGTGTTTCAATTTAGGTATTTTAGATGTTCGCGTTGTTTAAGGATGGAAGTACACGACAACAATTACCAAAAGCCAGTTTCCAAATCTTCATGGATTACAATTAACCAATAATTTGCATGCTTGTAAATACTTAAACGCACAGTGTAGATTTCGCTTATGAGTCCTTTTTACTCGAACTAGCACCAATGTGTTTCAATTTAGGTATTTTAGATGTTCACGTTGTTTAAGAATGGAAGTACACGACAACAATTACCAAAAGCCAGTTTCCAAATCTTCATGGATTATAATTAACCAATAATTTGCATGCATGTAAATACTTAAACACACAATGTAATTAAAACATACAGTGGCAATACAAATCATAGTTCAATTTGCATAATGATCAGATTTACAAATAAAATGTTGAAGCATAGTAATCAAAGTACAATTACACAATTATACTACGCGATTAAGAAGAAAAACTACACTAATCCTAATCCTAAAAGCAGAAAAGAAAAGTGGCCGAGAAGTGGTCATACCCAAAAATAATTCATTGCATGAAAGCCATATACGCAGGCGGAGAGTGCTTAAGAGAGAGTTATAAGTATGAAATTTCTGACCTTTGTGAAAGGCTATGCTTCTCCTATTTATAGAGACTCTCGAGAGAAGTTAATTTCATGCATGCGTTGTTATGGGGAATAATCGCTATCCACTATGCTTGTTATGTGGGTTTAGGATGTAACTTCTCGCAACCGTTCATCCCACGTTCTTTGTTTCTTCGATTAAGCTTTGGTAACTACCTTTAATTGCTTAATTGCTCAGAGAATCTAACATCTCTCATGTTTCTCGACCAAATCTCGAGTTCATATACTCAGGGTCTCTAATTCTTGGTGAGTATTAGCTTTCTTTCTAGTAGTTTCGACTGTGTAACTCTCGAGTTTTGAGTAGTATAGCTTTCGAGTAGGCCTAACACATTGTACCAATAAAGTAAACTATAATTTAAATTATAAACCTTTTAGATAACTTTGGAAAAAAAATTTAGAAGATCCAACATCCACGAGTGTCCACCACATGCAAGCGAGCTGTGGGCATGTTAATTTATCCTACTCTAGACTTGCCAGAACAGCTTGCCTCTCGAGACAAAAACATAAAAAACAACCAAGAAAGAAGGAAAGAGCAAAACGGTTGTCACTTCTCACTTCTCAATGTAATGTCTCTCAATAAATATTGTTGTTTCCTAGAAAGACAGGAAGCATTTACTTCTAAATTAATGGGGGCATTGAATTTGCTTTGACTTTATGGTAGATGCATGATTTCAATGCTTATTCATGGAAATTCACACTTCCACTTCCATTTATATTTCCCTCGTTCTCACTATTTTGTGCCAAAACCATATGGCAAGGTGCATCACAATATTCTTGATTGTTTCAGTTCTTCTACTCACAGTTGCTGAAGGAAGGTCCTTGTTCAACATCATTAGTCCAGATTCTGTTTCTCACAAACCGGTTTCTTCTTCCCATGTAACAGTGTCACTCGTAAGTAGATTCATATGTTTGTTTGGATATTTATTTTTCCAAAAATATTTCTAGGAAAATAGAAAGAAAAATCAGAATTAACTTTTTTATAAACTAAAATTAGTTCAGTCATAAGTTAAAAGTAAGATTTTAGGGAAGTTAATAAAATAATTTCTACTAATTAATTGACTTATGCATAAGTCAGATTTAGTTTATGCAGAAGCTTTTTTTTTTCTGTTTTTCTTTTTTATAAATATTTCTAGAGAAATGTCAAACTTACTTAACCAAATCCTTAATTTTAAGATATTTTGTTCAGTTACATGCTATGTTTATGTTTGTCTGTTTTCACACTGTAGGTAGTACCATTATTTGTGAATTTTCTTGTACCATGTAGGAGCATATAGGGTTCAATAATGATGATGGTGGTGCTTGCAAGGGACTAGACAGGACTGAATGTGTGGTTAAAGCAACAATGGTTGCTCATACGGATTATGTCTACACACAAGACATCAATGGACCTTGATTGTGCTATTTCGGCTTCTTCTTTCAATTCAGTGTTCTTTTAGGATTATATTGTACTAAGAGAAGTGTAATTTCTTTAGAATACTACAATGTCAACGATGTGAAAAGCATGTAATTTCATTCTTTTCCGCCTGATGTTTGCTTTTGCTTTTTGATGAGGCCGACAAATTGATCATAAGAGATACTAGTACCAACCCACAACTCGCAAGTCTTGATTAGAAAATTGAACCCCTTTTTAATTAGGACATTTGGAAATAGACTTTAGTATTAATGAATATTGTTTAAGATATGTAGTACTATCTCCACTCCATAAAAAAACTATGGAATTCAGAAATATCTATAGGTTTGAGATAGAGATAGTAATTTTGACTCCATATATATAATTCAAGTAGTTCAAGGAGTACTGGTGGCTGTCTTTTTCAAAGAACATTTTAAGTCCAGATTGAAAATGGTTACTGAAAGTAGGGTAACATATTATGTTTATTTTGAAAAGAGAGACATAATTTTTTTTTTTTTTTTATCAATTATGGACTACTTGTTAAATTTAATCTAAATTGCGTCATAAGAAGATTTAAATTTAAATCTTAACCTTGTGGGGTTGACTAGGCATATATATGTGGATAGAGAAAAACACAAATTTTATCAAGTAGGGTCCATTAATTATATTTTAAAGTGCCTATTTCTCTCTAAGATAATAAATATATAATATACTATCCTTTTTCTATTTATAAAATCTAACTTAGAATAATTATTTAATTTTTTTATATAAGGCTTAATTTTTATTGTTTCATATATTAATTATTTTTAAATTAAAATACTTTAATTAAATTGTGTTATCTTATTATTAAATTACATTAATAAACTTTGTAAAGAGCATGCTTAGGAGAAAAATAAATATTAATTAGGAGAAATAAATAGTATAGAGCATGTATTGTAATTGGTTAGAAGATATATGAGTATTAACTAAGAAAGAAAAGTAGTATAAAGATAGTTTCAGAAGAAGAAAAAAATACCAATACGATAAATTTATTATTATTAATTAAATTAACTACTTTTCTTAATCTTAGTGAATTAGATAATTTGGTTTTATATAGGAACGAATGTAGCATTACTAAACAACACAAGGAATCCAAATTTTAAATCTTAATTTTTAGGATTTTCCATTTATATCTTGGCACAGGTTAGTCAATGCTAAGTCAAAAAAAGGCAATCTTGAATCTCTCAAGCTTTCATGTTTTAATGATAAAAAAGGAAAAAGAATTTCTAAGAAAAAATGTTTTTTTAAGAAACACTCTCAGACGAAGTATAAGACGTTACCTGTAGTAAAACGTTGTTCAAACAGACAAAATATTGTCTGTTAGACTAACATTTATTCTATATCATTTATGATGTCTAATAATAAAGTTGTGTCTGAATGATTCCTTAATAGATTGAACCTTAAAAGCTTCCTTGAAACTCACTCTATTAAAAAAGAACAACGACATGTTTTGTGTCAGAAATAAGACAAGTAAATTAGATAATCATGGAAAAGGTCAATTAAAGTTGTTTTAGAACTGCACAATGTTGACACATCTTTTGTTTCATCCGTTTGTTACCTAAAAGATGATAATTAGCCTTCTTGATTAAATAAGTAGTGACTTTTTGGTAAAATGCATTTAATGTATCAATAGATACTTCTCCCCTCAAGTAATCAACGATGAAGATAGATGAAACAAGCTTATGAGAAATGCTCAAAGTGTTGTAACGATCATCTTCATCAAAACTACTATATAAAAAGCTTGACACTTAGAAAGAATACTAAGAGAAAAAGAGAGAACGCTTTATATACAAATTATTGTTCATTCATTCTTTTTGTAAAACTTTATATACTTAATTGGTTATATCATATCTTGTTTGTAAGATGAAATAATATTTATAAAACCCTTTTCCAAATATAACTGTTTGTTATTGGGTTGAGTTTGAAGAGACTTGTCTATACGAATACATGGTTATTTGAACCTGAAGGGACTTGAAAATTGGAAGTAGTCTCGGTGATTGAGATGAACCAATATAAAATTTTGTGTTCAATTTCTTGACTCTTCATAAAATACTCTTTGTAATTTTCATTACTACTTCATTATTTTCAAAGTGAGATTTTTGATAAATATTATTTAACCTCTTTTTAGTGACTGTCTTTTTCTCTACAACCAATGAATGAAAAATGCATTGTCTTCAATGTCTTCAAGAAAGTCATTATCATGGTTTTATAGAGATAGGCATAAACTTGAGAATGGTACCTTAAAATATTATAATACTCTCACAACACCTTCATAAGTATGTGATAGCTGGCATGGATGAAAAAAAATTGTCATAAGTACATGCCTTTAGGTGTTACAGGAAACCATTCTTGAATCCTATAACAACATATGAAGCAAAAAAAGTATATTGGTGCTTCTGTTAATAATAAAGTTGATGAAAAGTTAGGGTAGTTTTGGAGAAGTCCAAAACCAAAATGAGGAGAAGTGGAAAATAGAGAATGCGTCAAAAATGAGGCCGACCAATTATGACACAAACCATTTAGCCAATAAGGGGCATGTTGTTGAGATAACACTACTGGATTAACTTTGACAAATATGTTGGTACTAATATTATCTTTGACAAATGGGCTGGGGTTGAATCGTGTGTGGAATTTCAATACAACTAGTTTATGCTAATCATGTCTAAACTTTAAAGTCAATGTTTAGATCAGGTGTTGATTAATTTTATATTGTTTTCTCTCTATATGGTCTACGTTTATTCTGTAAAATTCCATCTCTAACGTTATTGGCTTTACAAGAAGTGATATTGCTGGGGAATCGGGTAGTTGATGGCAAAAAAATGAACATTTTTTGCACTGACTTCACATGTAATGGATAACAGTGCAAAAAATTGAATTCACTTATTATCGGAAAATACTGTTTGTAAATGTTAGAGATTCACGTCGATTAGAAATGAGATCATAACGTATATAATTAAAAAACAATCCTTATATATCTTATAAATTAATTTTATAAAATTAAATTTTGAATCATTTTCTTTAAGATGATATAAGAGTCTCTTAATGATTTTATAGGATTTAGGCTGTAAACTTTACACTCAAACCTATCATAACACAGTTTTATAAAATTTAAATTGCTAATCTTTGACATAAATAAGAAATAATTCTCATCTTTGAATTCGCCTGTTTGAACTAACTTCTGTTAATATTCAAATCCATTTTTTTTAAACTTATATTACTAAACTTTTTAACGAAGCTTATCTAGTTAGGGTGATAGATAAAAGGAAGAATGGAAGAAAAAAGAATTTTGAAGAGAATAATGAGAAAGAAGCAAAGACAATTGCAAATAGAAGACATCACAAAAAGTGCATCGAAGTCGCTATCAACTATGACTCAAGCCTGAGCCCTCTGAGAGTAAAATAAAATGGGATCCATGTGGTTCTAAATTTTATATAATGGTCATCTAATGCTTTTCCGTAAATAGCACTTGAGCATTTAAAATTTAATCGTGTATTCTTTTGTTTTTATAAGATTTTGGGTTCCACTTGGGCCTTCTGAGTAATTCTGGCCTAGCACACAGAAAGTTAGAGCCTCAATTTCCCTCCTCAGTTCTGCTCACACATGCAGGCATCCGAAAAAGGCTGGATAAATACATAATATTGAAAAAATAATAATAACTCACAATTTCATTCACACTATCAAATAATTTCAAAATCAATAATAAATATAGTTCTCCATAACTATGTAGCATAACTTCAAAACTTTACATTCATAACATAAGGAATTCTAAATTATAGCTAATAAACTCAATTGTTGTGCACTGAGAGGGGTTTTCACGCATACATACATGTCTCCACATTAGTAAGACTTTGCTTGCATCCCAAGGATCCTTGAGAGGAGTTTTCACGCATACATACATGTCTCCACATTGGTGAGACTTTGCTTGCATCCCAAGGATCATTGTGTGTATATACCTTATACTCGTCGAGCCGGTCACCTGATCAGATCATCAGCTCTGATACCACTTGTTGTGCACTGAGAGGGTCTCTACATTGGTGAGATATTGTCTGTTTTGGGTCCAAGCCCTCACAGATTTGCTTTTGGACATCACCCAAAAAGTCTCTCAACCAATGGAGATAACTGTATGTATATAAACTCATATCCATTCTCTTATTTGAACGATGTGAGACTTTGATTGCATCCCAACAATAATAAATATAGTTTTCCATAACTATGTAACATCCCCATAACTCCAAAACTTTACAATCATGACCGTAAGAATTCTAAATCATAGCCAATAAACTCTAATGATATGGGTGACTATTTTACAAGTCAATTTTATAAAATTAAATTATATTAAAATTTACATTCTTAAGATACTATCAAAATTTATTTTAGTGATTATTTTATAATGTTATCCACTATTAAATCGTTAACATACCATCAACACATGTTTAATCTTATAAACATCAACACTTATGTCCAATGATCAATATGAAAAAATTCGTTGAAAATCTCATATCAATTAGATATATGATTAAAATAGGATAATTTTCACTTTAATGACTAGTTTTGTAGAATATATGCGGGCAGATTGTCACTTGCAAATACCTTATCAATGTCTTCTGTAGTAGCCATTATTAACATACAAAACGATATTACTTGTTGAATGAACGAGTAGATTTCATTTGAATAATTTTTGCTTCTAACTTGGTTTGATTTCTTTTTCCTAAGAGCAATTTACGTGGAGCGCTTAAATAATTTGAATTAAATTGAAATAGTCTATCATGGATGATAATCGAAAATTATTAACTTTTGTTATAACTATTTTGAAATATCTCTAATTGATTTCGGTCCAAAAATATTATACTAATAATAATGTATCAACATTAGACTCAAATAATATTAAGTTGCAAAGGAAAATCATCACAAATCTTTACTAAATTTTGTTTTTAGAGGAATTTGTTGCGTAGGAGACCACTTGGATTGAATTATAACTCCAATTGTCTAGGCGCACCAATTTCCATTCTACTTGGTCAAAAGCCATTTTGTATAACTTCAAACTGTACTTTGCAATTGCATTTTGGAAGTGACTTTCCCCTTATTTTCGCATTATATTTGTAATTATGAATTTTGTTTTATTGGCATTGTTACTAATCAGTTATAGTGTGTCAAATATTTGGAACTTTATATATTGATTTCAAACTAAGTCTAGCTTGAATGCTGATAAGCCTTTATAAAGATGAAATTAACCCATATCAGGTAAAATTAAACACGCCTCTTATATACTAAAAAAAATATAAACATCAACAACTTTGAGTTCATAGAAATATGGTGTAGCAATCAGCATCACAACTTTGTTGAAGGTTTTGGGTTTTGACTTTTCTTGAAAAAATTGGCAAGCATTTTAACAACAAGGCGACCTGATTTGACGAATGTCAAAAGCTGCAAGATTTGCGTATAATGCTATCAAGATTCGCTTGTCAACAATGCAATGATGATGATGGTGCCACACGCCTCTCTCCATCCAAGTTAATTCATGTTTATCCCATGTCTGCTTCAATTTTGCAAAATTTTTTAAAGCAAATCCCCAACCTTGTGCAGAGCCTGTCTTCATGTGCTAGTGAGTGTTTGTTTAGATCACACTCCTGCAAAAGGAAAGACACAATTTGACAAATTTTGAAGATAGACATGCTGCTTGCTGGACCTTGATGATGCATGCACTTCCTTGTCGCTTTGTTAAAAGTACTATTTCAAGCAACACCTGAAGCATAGGCTCCACTTGGTTGCATAATCCACATTAGTGACAAGATTTAAAGATGGGGGTACCTCAGCAAAAACCTCTCAATAGTTGTTTTTGCGTTTTCAGTGGATACCCTTTTGATTATATGTTTTGCTTCTTGTGGTAGTAATGTGTGTGATGATCCACTACCACCAGCACCTCCACCACCATTTGTCGTATTGGCCCTGTTATACTCTGTGCAACAATGGACACCCTTTTCAGTGTTCTTTCAGATTTATGATACCTTGTTTTACTTTTGCACGTGCATACCTCACTCCTCCCCTTTGGTCCTACAAAAGACAAACTCTATAATCTATATAGCTAGCAACCAGCTACTTCTTAGAGCAAAGATGAATTTTTTTGTTTTGCTTTCCATTTCCTTTTATAAAGTTTTTGGCCTTTCATTGGTTTTTATTTTTATTTTTTTATATTTTTTATGATAAAACTGTTCCATTTTTCGTTAGTGTGAAAAATGATATAGACACTGAAATTTCATAAGATGGGTACAGATATTATCATATTCTGGCTAGGTACACTGCTTCATCACCAAGAAGATAAGGACGCGGCGATATGGTAGATAGATAAGTAACTGTTTTTTTGTTCTGTGCTATGGACGTAACCATAATTTTCTTGATATTATAATGATTCCAAGTGAAGAACATGTAAAGCTGTAAATTATATGATAATTGATATATAATTATATATATATGATATGGTTCTAAACTCACATCTCCAATGGAAGCACCAAAGATCATAGAAATCTAAAGTAAGAAAAAGAGACATATATAGAGTGATTAATATGTTTGTGTATATCGTGGGAAATAGCCTCATTCATGAATCATGTCTGCAGGGGTGATCGATTGGTTTGATGGATCAGGTTTGAGTTGAGAAGTGTTGTTGCATGGAAGGTCCTCCAAATCCTCCATGGTGCAAGCAAAGGAGGTTCCAATTTGCATGTCTGCTAGCATTTGGCGAAGATCAGAAGCTTCTTCTTTGAGGCGTGCATTCTCTTGGACCACTCTGTCATGGGACTCAGACACATGGTTGAGTTTGTCAATAAGGTTGTGGTTCTCACTTCTGAGCCTAACAACCTGTGACCAAAGCTCATCCAAGTGCTTTTGCTTCCTCATTCTTGATCTGCGTGCGGATTCTCGGTTGGATATCATTCTGCGGTGCTTCCTTTCGTCGATGATGTTGAACTGAATTTCATCAGCTTCATCAGAGGTGGAGTTGCTGCTGAGGCATGAAGAGGGAGGAGCAACGAATTCAAGGCCTGAAGGGGGGTAGTGGCAGTTTGGTAAGGTGCTTAGGAGGGTGTTAAGGTGGAAGTTTGGGATGTCACTTTGCAGAAGTCCAAAGTTTGGTGGAACTAGGAATGGATTTTCTGGTGCTAGATAGTGGACACCTCTGATCTCACTAGGAACCATGGTTGGGAATGGTTTTCAAGATGGTGCTTTGAGGGTCTGGTTGTGAGGTATGTTGAGAGCCTGAGATGATAATGGAACTGGGGAAGGTTGTGTGAGTAGTGGGGTGAATTTATAGGAAGATGATGGCTTGAAGAGTGGGGCCAGTTTGGGCAAACAGGCATTGTACTAGGGCTTACATGAGCAGAAATTCAACAATAATTGGGAAGTGCTCCTAATGTATGCATGTGGTATGAGATATACATCCAGGGGAAGACCACTTTTTATCATATAAGTGGCTATCCAGAGTCCATGTCATAAAGTTGTTGGGTTATATTATATGTATGTGGCTATGTGTGTTAGTATTACTTTTATCTAATCTGTATATTATCTTTGGTTCTATGTTCACTTTAGTCTTTGCTTATATGGTGTAGTGGAAATTTATGACTTGAAACTTTTAGCAGCGGACATAGGATGTGTTTGAAAAAACGCTGGTTCAACTTAATTCACGTTTTCTTTAATCCACTTGTATTATTGTTTTTCTATTTGGAGCATTGGAACGCATAAACGGTGGTTATGTGGCTTCCTGAAATTACTCCAAACATATAAATAATCTTTGATTAAAAAGAGGATGGTGATGAATAGCAAAGGTTATAAATTGCAGTTGTGATTATTGGCTTTAGACATGAGTCAACAATGAACAATATAATTTGTAATCAAGGTATTATTGGGCAGATAACTATATCTACTAATTATGTGGTTATGAGTTTGATTCCTAAATCTATATATATATTAAGAGTATTTTTTTGAAAGAGATTAATCCCTTAAAATAATGAATAGTTACAAGGATTAGTTTTGGTTTTCAGTTGGAATATCCTTAACAACAAAAAATATTTCATTGACTAGTGATTTCGGTTTTGTTGTGATCCTTAATTTTGCAAAAGATTGTGGATAAATGCGACTGATAGAGCTACAATTGTGATTATAAATACGTCAAAACTAAAGTTACTGTTGTAATTATGATTATAAAGACGTCAAAAACATAAAGTTACTGTTGTAATTGCGGTCTTTAACTGTTTCTTTTCTTAAAACCATGTCTATAATCACTGTTTGATGTATTTGTAGTGGTCATCATAATCGAAATGTGGCAGCCGCATCATATAGTGTGTGTGATTGGCAATTTAAAATCCTTTTAGCACATACAAAACGATACCTAAGTCAATTTCAGAGGAGCTTTTCCTGAGGTCCCTACCCAATTTCGGAAGCAATTTTGAAAACTGAAAACTCTTGCAACCAATAATTCCTTTTGATACATGACGCAATGAAGGCCAGTTTAAAAGGAGCAAGAATTGATATTTGATGGTCATTATTATTATAATTATGATGACTCATGAGCCACTAACACATGGATTGAAGGGACTATGCTAGAGCAATTGTGTTTTTTTTAAGTAAATAAACATCTTGTACCTAAATTCCAATTTCCAACCATTTCAACATGTAAATCCTTCTATTAACCAGATCAAGCCAAACAATCACACACCTTGGTGTTCTGTTCACCAGTTTATTTGAGTACTCATCATCATGTTCTGCATAGCATAGACAAAGTACTATGTCATAATTAAGGAAAACTAACGAGATCTTAAATTGTGTTACCTTGGTGCACTTCTAATTAAAAGGACAGACTATATAAACAATTGGGGTGACAGCTTTTGGAATCCATTACTGATATAATAAAATGACTTGTGCTAAGTATGCTTTTCCTTTTCTATCTCACTTTTGAATTTTGATCCTTTACGTTAGGCTTTCTGAAAATTGATTGGATGGGAACTGAATAGCACTATGTGCATGAGGCCAGTGGCATTCATTAGAAGCAGTTTATGATATTACAGATGTCTCAAGAACACTGTAGTAACCATCACATTTCAAGAGGGTCTTCATCGCTTCATGTTCACTCAACACCTTGATGGAGTTCACAACATATCAGGAGCTGCCATATCTATTTCCTTCTCTAAAATAGTACATTCTCAACTTTTCATGCTTCCCTTCTAGTTGCCTAAATACCTTATTAATCCTATCTCGTTCAAGGCAACAAAAAGTCGCAGTCACTCTTTAATATTTGCATAATATAAAATTTGTTGTTGATAACAGTTTTAGTTATTTTGCTAATCTCTCCCTCTTTATTATGGCCCACTTGCATGATATGATAATGAAAATATAATATGCCACAACAGATTAGATCCAAATTTTTTTTGGCAAATCTAAGAGGTTTGGCTGCAACTTGCAAACACAAACGTTATTGTTTTATGCTTTAAATGTCCTATCCTTGAGGGGTCTTCTTGATTTTCTTGGATGAGAGTGGTTTACATTACTGCATTTTACCAATATAAACTTATTAGGCGATTCCCCACTATCCAACGTTTCCTTGCATTCTAAACTAATCTGATAAGGGTGAAGTACAAGATAGTTGATAAGGGGAAAAGAAAAAAAAAAACAGTGAGATAGTGGTGAAGTACAATTAAAGAACATTCCAGATAAACCATTTCTGAAAGGTTACATAGTATGTGTTGGAATTTATTTGGAAGATCCTTTGTAAGTCCATTGTACTTTATAAATTCCTTGTAAAGGGAATATCATAGTGCTTTGCCATTATATATGTAAATTAAGGGGCTATTTTCAATCCCCGTGCCACCACTTTTGAAGAATATGGAAAACCAAAGAACAAATCTGATCATATACTGTTTCTTCTAATTAAGGCTAGCTTTCTTGATTCCTTCTATTTCCAGAAGAAAAAAAAAATAATGCATTTCCAAGAATCTATTAATGTCCACCACAAAAACAGTGTTTGTTGTATGCAAGTTTATGGTATGAAGATATTGCTAAATGGTGTATAATAGCCAAATCCTACATATATCCTTAAACTACGTGAGAACTTGTTACCTTTTGTGAAAGAATCATGATTACAAATAAAAAGACATTACTTTAGTAGTTGCAAGCTCTAAATCCATTATGATACATGATATGAATTAAAATATACATAGAGAGAATAAAATAGAATAATCCAAAGAGTTAGGTAAGAATTTTCATTATTCCTTCCACTCTGCATTGCCAAAGCTTCCAAGAGCTATTAATTGAACGACAAGTAACTGGCATTTACATGAAAGGTGTCACTATTATAGCTACATGGAAATATGAATCTTATTTAAAAGGTGAACTCATCTTAAAATATGTATAAAATGAAGTTTGATTTAAGAATATCAAGGAAAGCTACGAAGAAGATATACTAATATTGTATAAAATGTTGAACTTGAACACTTGATGGGGGTCATAGTTTATACCTTCTCCATTGAAAAAGAATAACCCAAAAGGTTGGAGAGCAATACATATAGCACAAGATGAGGATTATGAGTACATTATTGACCAAACTCTTGTCTTTTATTTTCAAAATTGAAATGGGTTGTGTCCTTTTGAGGCATGGGGGATGTTAAGGTTTAGATAAACACAGTGCACACCATTTTCATGGAATTGGTGGCCTACAGAGACCCATCTCTACATGGCACAAAAATCAGAAAGGAAAAGTTGGAGTGAACATGATGGCACTATTCAGATGTCTACTCGCGTACGTTTGCCCAATTTCTGTGGTTGTATCGATTCTTACAAGGTGTACGGAAAATTCCTTCTCCCCCTTCAATTATTTTATAAAAAATAAAATAAAATTACAAAAAATGCACATATGCTATTGATGTTGGTAGATTTTTTTTAAGTCACATAAAGAAATATACAGAATTATTACTAAGGTAGTATTTTAGATAAAAGGTTTTTTTTTTTTTTTTGAAAAAAAATAGATTAGACCAAGACACGATGTTAAGAAATGTTTGAGTCAATCATCAACATTTTCAAAGATTTCTAATAAAATTATGGATCGTTTATTTCTTTTATCAAATTATAAAATAAAAGATAAGTCAGATTCAATATAAATTTTAACTACTAGAAACGAGGAGACTTAATTAATTATATAACCATGAGAACTTAAGTAAAAGTTTAATAATTTTAAAGAAGTTTGGAATGTATGACAAATTAATTATTTCACTTTTAATTCCGTTCATTTTTTTAATTTTTTTTTATTTGGATGAAATAACTTAAATCCCTCGCGTTTCAAATTCTTTGTTGGGATAGAGTAATTTAATTTACATCATATATAAAATTTTATTTTAAGATATTTATTTTAAAATTTGATATTTCAATGAAATTTTTTACCAAAAAATAAACACCAGTCCATTTTTAAGTGATAAAAAAATATAAAAAAAATAATCCTAAAAATTAGAAAATTCTGAAAAAAAATATTAAGTATACCTTTATTCATATATAACCAATAACTAAAAAATAAATATTAAGTATTTTGATATTTTCTCATGCTTTGTGACTCTGAAATACCATTTAATAAGAAAAAAAGTAAATATAAACAACTTTTTAAGTATTGATATATAGAAGCATAAAGTTTATTTTAAAAACAAAAACATATATTATATGTTAATGGATAGAGACCGAAAAATTAGGAAGATGTAGAAAGCTATGGAGGAGAGGAAGAGAAAGTATCATTTGGAATCCTTTAATTTTACTTAAAATATATCTATTATATAATTTTATCATTTAAAAAATTCTTTAGATCTTAATATTTAAACATCTCAGTTTAATGTGTAGTATTTTAGTTTACTTAAAAATCAAATTTCTCTTTTAAAACTATCCAACAAAATCAACAATTTAAGAAAGTTTGATTAATTAATTATGAAGGCAGTGCATTATTTATATCTATTATAATTAAATTTGATAAAAAAAAATAAAAAAAAAAAAAAGTTTGCAACAACTAATATAGGCACGGTATAATATCTATTTAGCCAACTAATCTAAACGTGGTCTACTTTAATTAAATATACATGGGTGTAATAAATTGAAATTAATTAAGGATAGGAGAACAAATTATATAAGAGGTTATTTAACTATTATATATATATATAGAGAGAGGAGGGTTATAATAATTTTTACTAAGTATTACACCGCTTAGTAACTTTTATATTAAATGTGAATTTTGTA